GTAAATGGGATTTCTTAAGGAATTATCCTACTAAATAACCATACATTGAAGTTCACCAACCCTATCCAGGTTCTTGGAGCCTCTAACTAATTTTTAGTGATTAACTATTATATATAAATGTAAATCAAGTATTTCAGGAAGGTCTCTAATTTAAAAGTACCAAACAAAACAAACAGCAACTTGAGAGACACAGAAGTTATGCAGGAAGAAAAAATTTTAAAAGGAGGAAAAAGCTGATTACTCAAGTCTTTTGGAATAGAAAGTTACTCATGCCTAAGCAATACATTCATAGATACTATTTTCCTTATTCATCCTGCTCTCAAATCATCTCAACAAAAAAAGAATAAAGAACTAGTTAAAAAAAAAAAAAGCTGTTAGCAGTGAGAGCATAAATTTTGGAAATAGAGAGTAGAGAGATATAAGCTCAGATTCTGTTTACCAAAGCTCACTAGTAAAGTTTTGCTCTCTGAACCATAGTTTCATTACTTGAAAAACAGGAATAACAGTACCCATTCTGCAGGGTTAAATGACATAACACATAAAGTGCCCACATGTAGCTACGTGAACATTCAGCTCTTTCCTCTCCTTTCGGTGATCTGGTTTGATTTTTTTAGATGTAGATATGAATTTGACAAAGATGCTCTCAACACCAAACTTCCAAGAGGAAAAAAAATTGCTTTTTAAAAATGTATATTCCTTCTCTCTAGATGTCAAGTAGGTACTTGATAAGTTTTGAATACAAAGATATGCTAATAATATAGTCATTATATGAATCACCTCAAAAGCTTGATAAATTTCAACCCTTTTTAAAGTTATGGTGAACCAACAGAAGATGAGCTAGTATCTGTAACTCACTACAGAAATAATTCTCAGAGTGGCTATGGCGGTAGGTGTGGGCTTTCTCCTATGGAGGCGTCAGAAGAGAAGGTGGCATGTATGATTCGGAAAAAGAAAGAGACTCTATAACCCCCATAATATAATTTCAATTGTCAAGTCATTTTGTCCTATATTCATTAGGGGCACTCTGAAGTGCAATATAAGCATAATGGCTTTCATCTGAGTAAAGTGATGCTAACAAAGAACACCCAACCAATTCACTCCAGCTAATACGTGTATGTTATACTCAGTGTTTCACCCAATGTTTTACCCTTTCTAGCCATTGATGAATTGAATATCTTTAACTGAAATGCTATGGGTATAAACCCACATATATTCAGCAGGAGTAGCCTACTACCATTTTTCTCTCAAACAATGACATTTTAAGAGATTCTGAGACCTCACAAAGATAAGTAATTAATAGGACTTAAGTATACTACTAATTAGGTGTTCTACTTACTTCTCAGATATGGCTTTGAACCTGGTTCGTGCTTCAGATCAGCCCAATAGATTTTTACTAAAGTAAATTCCTCCTTTAAGGATTAAAGAGGCATTTCTCATCAATAGTCTTCATGTTTCACTCAAGTACCATTTTTATCACTCTGCCGCAAACCAAGTAGTCAGACATAGATATAGATATTGATTTATGATGATGAGTATGCCATGACAATGGGAAGAAGTATGGTGCAGTCGATAAGAGTACAAACTCTGGAGTCACACTACACGGGTTCGAATCTAGCCAACTTCTTAGTGGCTAGCACTGGTCAGACTCATTTTTCTCAACTGTACAATGGGGATATTAATGATAATTTAAATCAGAGTATTATGAGAAGTGAGTTGATACATGTTAAGCACTGGCAACAGTGCTAGGCACAGAGTAAGTGCTATATAAATACTATATAAATATTTAATATTATTATGATTGTGATTTTTTTTTTTTGAGTCGGAGTCTCACTCTGTCACCCAAGCTGGAGTGCAGTGGCACACTCTCAGCCACTGCAGCCTCAACCTGCTGGACTCAGGTGATCCTTCTGCCTCAGCTTTCCAAGTAGCTGGAACTACAGGCATGCACCACCACACTCAGCTAATTTTTTGATTTATTGTAGCGATGATGTCTCACCTAGTTACCCAGGCCGGTATAGAACCATGAGCTCAGGCAATCCTCTTACCTAGGCTTCCCAAAGTGCTGGGATTATAGGCGTGAGCCACTGCGCCCGGCCTGTGTTTCTTATTTATACCTACAAATGCCATTAGGCAAAGGATACTGTATTTGTCCAAATATATTCATGTATGCCTACTAGTCCATCCATCCACCCAGCATCTGTTGTATATCTATTCTATACCAGACCCTAGGTTAGTAAGTAGAGTCATAAAGATAAACAACACTCCAACTGTTAGATACTGATAGCCTTGAAGGATTATTTCAGAAGCATCTGTCCTCTTTCACCTACCCAACATCTTCACTTGATGTGTATGTATAAAACAAGCTTCAATCATCCTTTACCACCAAACAAACAAACAAAACTTTGCTTCTCCCTAGTCTTTCCCATATCATTAAATCACTCCTTATATCCAACTGCCCGGAGCAAAAAAACAAGGAGTCATCTTTAATTATTATTTCCCTCACACTCTATTGTCTAAGCTACCAGGCAAGTCATGTTGAATGTAAATTCAAAATATATTCCAAGTCTGACTTCTTTTTATTTCCTATAACATTACTAGAATCTAAGCCATTATTATCTCTTGTCTGTACTACTGCAAAAGCATCCTACAAACTGGTTTCCATACTACTACTCTTGCTGCCTCTCAGCTCTCAACAGAGCAAATATGTTACTTTCTCCCCCTATGTCCATACTCAAAACCTCCAATGGCTTTCTATCACATTTAGAGTAAATCCAAAACCATATCTTGGTTTTTAAAACCTCCATGGCTTCCTATCACATTTAGAATAAATCCAAAACCGTATCTTGTTTTTCACATCACCACCTGAGGTCTGGTCCCTTACTACCTCTCAGACCTTATACTGACTTCTCTAGCCACATTGGTCATGTTTCTATTCCATGAAAGTGGTATGATCCTTCCTTTCTCAGAGTTTCTGTATTTGCTGTTTCCTCTGCCTGGAATGCTCTTTCACCAGAGCTTCCCATGACTCAACCAACTCCATTATTCACATATCTCCTCAAATAGCATATCCTAAGCAAGGCCTTCTCTGAACAGCTTGTGTAAGACAGCCATATTTCCACTTATTTCCTACTTCAAACAGCTCTATTTTCTTCATAACATTGTTCACTACTTGAGATTATATTATATTATGGATTCATTGAGATTATATTATATTATGGATTCATTTTACTTGTGTTTTAACTGTTTGTCTTACTAGCATGCAAGATACAGGAAGGTACAGGCTTTGTCTGTCTTGTTCCTAACAATATCCCCAATGTTTAAAATGTTTGAAACTATCTGGCACACAGTAGGGGCTCAATAACATTTGTTGAGTAATGAATAAAGTGATAAGATTAAAGTGTTCAAAGTTCTCTGAAGTTAACTCCACCTAATAGTGAGGATAAGATTAAAAATGGAAATTTCTTAGTTATATATACCCTTAAATCCCTGGCTGAACACAGTAGCTCAGGCCTAAGCAAAACAAACAAACAAACAAAAACAACAACATATACACTAAATCCTTTAAAAATAAAAAATTCATAATTTTGAGTCAGGATTTCATTCTGTTGCCCAGATGGAGTGCAGTGGTGCAATCAATCATAGTTCACTGCAGCCTCAAGTTCCTGGGCTCAAGTGATCCTCCTCCCTCAGCCTTTGGCATAGCTGGGACTACCTACACCATCCATGCCTGGACATTTAAAAAATTTTATTTGTGGAGATGAGGTCTCACTATATTGTCCAGGATGGTCTCAAGCTCCTGGGTTCAAAAGATCCTCCTGCCTCAGCCTCCCAAAGTGCTGGAATTATAGGTGTGAACCACCATGTCAGGCCTAAAACATATACACACACACACACACCCCTATATATAAAATATATATGTGCACACATATATAAATATATATATATAATTTTTAAAAATTTTTTATTTTAAAGGTTTTTTTTTTTTTTTTAAATTCAGATTGAGGTATACATCATACAGCAAAGTTTGGGCCTCCCTTTGTCCCAAACTGCACCACCCCCCCAGCAGTGTCCTGCTACTGCCAATCCCGTTCTTATTGTATTATGGTAAATGTTCTGGGTTTGCATATGAGTGAGAACACGTGGTACTCAGTTCTTTGTTTCTGTGATAGATCACTGAGTATGGTAGACTCTAAATCCATTCAAACTGCTGCAAGGTCCATACTTTTGTTCTTCTTTATGACTGCATAATATTCCATCATGTATATGTACCACAGTAATATATATATATTAAATCTACTCCTTTCTCCCAAGGTTTTTCCCTAAAATATTACTCAAGCATAGTATGTGCACCTTAATAATAAAGAAAGTATATACATGTATACTGTTTCAGAATGTCTATTATTTCAAAGACTTTTTTAAAAAGTGAAATGCAGTGGAATATAATAGGGTTTTGTTTTGGTTTTTTTTTTGGCAACTTGGAGTAAGTGAAAATTATTTTTATAGGTGAAACATTATCCACTTAGCATCAAACATTTATTGAATACCTACTATGTACCAGGCTCTGGGTACAGTGATAAGTCAACAGATATAGCTCCTATCCACATGATATTCAGAGTCTAGTGGGAAGAGGCAGACAATAAATAAGCAAGGAAATAAGTATGTGAGAACAAATTCAAAACAATGCTATGAAAGAACAGAGTTCTCTCATAAACCATAAAGAGGGAGATCCAAGTAGATGGTGTGAGTTCAAGGAAGACTGATCTGAGAAGGTGACATGGACGCTGAGTCTTAAAAGATGAAAAGGAGGCAGTGCTTTGAGAGGAGCAGGAGGCAAAGGTCTTCCATAAGGTGAAAGATCATGTGCTAAGAAACTGGTGCTAGGTCTGCCCAGCGCTGCCTGCTTGCGCCCCACCCTCCCCCAGTGGAATGCGGTCCCCGCTCGCACTTCTCGCCGCCGCCACAGCCCTTCCTCCCACATGCCGCCGGTGCTCGCCGCCAGCATGAACCGGCAGCTCAATGGCTTCCACAAGGCGTTCATCAAGGAGAGCACCTTCCTTTTCACCTCCTAGTCTGTGGGGGAAGGCCACCCAGATAAGATCTGTGACCAGATCAGTGATAATGTCCTTGATGCCCACCTTCAGCAGGATCCTGACGCCAAAGTGGCTTGTGAAACTGTTGCTAAAACCGGAATGATCCTTCTTGCTGGGGAAATTACATCCAGAGCTGCTGTTGACTACCAGAAAGAGGTTCGTGAAGCCATTGAACACATTGGATATGATGATTCATCCAAAGGGTTTGACAACAAGATTTGTAATGTGTTGGTGGACCTGGAGCAGCAGTCACCAGATATTGCCCAAGGTGTTCATCTTGACAGGAATGACAAAGACATTGGTGCTGGAGACCAGGGCTTGATGTTTGGCTACCACTGATGAAACAGAGGAGTGTATGCCTTTAACCACTGTCTTGGCATACAAGCTCAATGACAAACTGGCAGAACTACGCTGCAATGGTACTTTGCCTTGGTTACGCCCTGATTAGAAAATTCAAGTGACTGTGAGTATATGCAGGATCAAGGTGCTGTGCTTCCTATTAGAGTCCACACAATTGTTATATCTGTTCAGCATGATGAAGAAGTTTGTCTCGATGAGATGAGGGATGCCCTAAAGGAAAAGGTCATCAAAGCTGTGGTGGCTGCAAAATATCTCGATGAGGACACAATCTACCATCTGCAGCCAAGTGGCAGATTTGTTATTGGTGGGCCTCAGGGTGATACTGGTTTGACTGACTGGAAAATCACTGTGGACACTTATGGTGGTTGGGGAGCTCATGGAGGAGGTGCCTTTTCAGGAAAGGATAATACCAAGGTAGACAGCTGCTTATGCTGCTCGTTGGGTGGCAAAATCCCTTGTTAAAGGAGGTCTGTGCAGGAGGGTTCTTGTTCAGGTCTTTTATGCTATTGGAGTTTCTCATCCATCGTCTATCACCATTTTCCAGTATGGTACCTCTCAGAAGAGGGAGAGAGAACTATTAGAGATTGTGAAGAAGAATTTTGATCTCCACCCTGGGGTCACTGTCAGGGATCTGGATCTGAAGAAGCCAATTTATCAGAGGACTACAGCCTATGGCCACTTTGGTAGGGACAGCTTCCCATGGGAAGTGCCCCAAAAGCTTAAATATTGAAAGTGTTAGACTTTTCTCTCCAGACTTGTTGGCGTAGGCTACAGAGAAGCCTTCAAGCTCTGAGGGAAAGGGAGCTTCTTGCTAAATTTTCCTGTTCTCTTTCAGCTCCTGATCAGTTGCAGTCACTCTAGTCAATGACATGAATTTTAGCTTTTGTGGGGGACTATAAGTTGGGCTATTCTGTCCCTAAGTGTTTGGCCACCATTATAATAAATTTAGTGAGCATAGCTGATTCATTAACTGCCTAGAAACAAACAACACTGTAGTAAATAATGCTTTGAAATTGAACCTTTGTGCCCTATCACCCAACGCTCCAAAGTCCTAATTGCATTGACTTTCCCACCAGATGCTGATAATGTCCTTGTAATGCCACATAAAGTACTTGTAGTTCCACTATAGCCTGTCTGGCAATGCCACAGCCCTGTCAACATGAATTTGTAATGTCTTGAGCTCTATTATGAATGTGAAGCCCTCCCCTTATCCTCCCTGTAACTTGATCCATTTCTAATTATGTAGTTCTTTGTCAGGGAGTGTTCCCTACCCTGTCAGTCTTGCATACAACACAAGTTTCCAGCTGGAGCTCTAGCCTGACATCAAAAAAAGGCAGTTACTATTAAACCATCTCCCTGGTGCTTATGCTCTTAATTACCACCTCTTCAACAGCACCAAATCAATCTCCATTTTCAGCTGTCTTTTGGAGGACATACGTAATAAGGTTTTTATTTAGCAAACCAATCCTATGCAGTGTCAACACTAGCCAAACCTCACCAACTCCTAGCTCTAGAAAAACAGGCACTTGGCACCCTTGTGATGTCATACAGAGATGTCACAGGGCAGTACCTGAGGGTCTGTAGGTTGCACACTCGGGTACCAGATAACTTTTTTTTTTCTTTATAAGAAAGCCTGTACTCCACGCTGTACAATAACTCCTCCCAGGGTCTTAACTTTGTTTTATTTTCAAAACCAGGCCCAATGAGCTTTCTGAACAGCTGGTGTAGCTACAGAGAAACCAGCTTCCTTCAAAGAGCAGTGCTTTTGGTGGGGAGGAGAAAATCCCTTCATACTTGAACGTTTTCTAATTGCTTATTTATTGTATTCTGGGGTATGGCGTAAGTACAGAGAAGCCATCACCTCAGATGGCAGCTTTTAAAAGATGTTTTTTTCTCTCAACACCATGATTCCTTTAATAACATGCTTCCAGCATTCCCAGGTAAGCCAAGGTGCCCTACAGAAAAACCTTGGGTTAGACCTAGAGGGGGTCTGACTGGTGTTAACAGAAGGGAGAGCAAAGCTGGTGCGGCTGGCCATGGAGAAAGCTGACTTGGCTGGTGTGGTACAGAAAAGCCAGCTTGTTTACATGCTTATTCCATGACTGCTTACCCTAAGCAGAAAGTGCCTTTCAGCATCTATTTTTGGAGGTTTATTACGTATGTCTGGTTTTCAATTTCAACAGATTAATGAAGATCTAAATAAAATGCTAGGTTCTACCTTAAAAAAAAAAAAAGAAAAAGAAACTGGTGCTCTCTTAGGAAATGAAAGAGGTCACTGGGACTAAATTACAGTGGTAGAGAGGTTGCTAGAGAAAAAGTTAAAAAAGTAAGTGGCTGCTCAGTCACACAGAATCTTACAGACTATGCTAAAACACTTGACTACTCTAAGAGAAATGGGAAACCTATTATAACAGAAACTACATTTTAGGATAGGGTTATTTCTTGTCATAAATCACTAATATAATATAGATACGCTAGTTCAATTGTGTTGTCCTCCTTATTACATCAGTAGCGCCTAGCACAGAATCTTACTTGAACCCACTCCATTTACCTGATCTCCTTCTTTATGCTTTATGAGAGAAGTCTATTCTTTCATAGCATTTATTCTGAATTTGTTGTCACATACTTATTTCCTTGCTTATTTATTATCTATTACTTACCACTAGACTCTAAACACCATGTAGGTATTGTAAATTATTTACTAATAACTAAATGACTCGTGGTATTGTTTTCAGGAAAGCGTTCTAGGTGACAGAACTCATCATAATCCATATTGCCTTAGCCTTGTTACAAATGACATAATTTTCTATCAATTTCTAACTTCCTAGCTTCAATATGTCTGAAGAATACACAAGGCAGGTCTAGTGACAATAAACTATTTTTGAAGTTGGATGCATGTAACTCAGGAGTTAACTCTATTAATCTGTGAAATTTAAAAAAATATATACTATTTACTTAATTTACTTCAGTCTTTAACTTCATAATAGCAGAACTGAAAATATAAAATCATCAACCAATATATCTGAATTATTTTTATTTCAGCAGTAGTACATCATCAACAAAAATATCTTTCAGCTTGTCATCTATCCAAAAGAAAAAAAATGTCTATAAGCAACATAAAATAGGGCCAGGACTAGGAAAACGAGGGAGGTGCCTAGGATGAAAAATTTAAAGAGGCATTCACTCTCACTTGCACAATCTTGGCATAAAATTTATTTTTTTGGGCACTGAGCACTAAACTGATGATGAAAGCTATTTAACTTAAGATACACTGGCAAAATAGAACTATGTGTCTATTGTTTTCATGATTTGCTTAGACAAGAATTAAAGTGAATTAAAATACTTTCAGTTTACAAATGTTTTATTCAAATGTACTATCTCATTTGATCCTCAAAATAAGTCTGAATTAAGTGTTATCATTATACATTTTATGGATCAGAAAAGTTAGCTATTTTAGTAAATTGTCACTGAATACACTAGTATCCTAAGTGTGGAACAATAACATTTGATGTTTATAAATATTAAAATAAAAACTCTTTTAAATTATTTTTTAAAAATAAAAAACAAATGAGTAGAAAGTTTGCTAGACAGCCGGGCTCGGTGGCTCAGCCTGTAATCCCGCGCTTTGGGAGGCTGAGGTGAGTGAACTGCCTGAGCCCGAGGGTTCGCGACACGCCTGGGCAACTTGGCGAGACCCCATCTCCAGAATAAATCAAAAATTAGCCAGGCATGGTAGCGTGTGCCTGTAGTACCAGCTACTTGGAAGGCTGAGGCGGAAGGATCACCGGAGCCCAGCAGGTTGAGGCTGCGGTGGCCGAGAGCAGCCACTGCACTCCAGTCTGGGTGACAGAGTGAGAATCCAACACAAAAAAGAAAGTTTGCTAGAAATAATTATTAGGATATTTATGACATTTTAATTAATAACCTTTTATTAATCTATTATTTTTCACCTTTATCCAAAACTTTATTCATTTACTGAAAAACAAATCTACATTAACATCTGTTATTAACAATAATCGCTATCATTTAGTAAATGTTTCTTATGTGTGTGTATTTAATTTTCACAAAAACCCCATGGTGTAAGAACTACTATATTCACTTTACAAACACAGAAACTGAGGCTAACAGGTGGCAAAACTGGGACTGAAATTTAGTCAGCCAGGCTCTAGAATCTGATATCTCATCCACTATGACTATACTATAATCGTTCATTAATTTCTTAATATAATAAAAAGCAGCAATAAAACAAGTGCATGAATAAATTTTACCAAGGCTAGTCATGGCATTACACACTACTTAATAAAGCCAAATGTTGTTGATAATAATTCTTCTAGCAGAAACACAAAGGCATCTTATTTAATCAGGTGTTCGCTATCTTCAATTTCTACAATATTTGCTTAACATAATTACAAAATTTACTAAACACAAAGAGCTTGTATAAAATATCATTTCCCCTTTCAGCATTAAGTGTCTGGTATAAAAACACACACCAAACAAACACAAAACAACAGTAAACTGTGAGTCTTTTGACAGTGCTAAACAATGTATATTATAATCAGATCAAACTCTAGAAATAAGCAAAATAGGCCCAAAATTCTAATTAGGTTTTCATGAAAGGTAATCACTTTAAAGCAATTTTTTAAAAGTCCTTCAAAACAACAATCCCTTTGCTAAATTACAGACTAAGAGCAGATATTTTTAAGAACTTAAAAACTTTAGAGGAGTAGTGATTTTATCAAGGACACATAATTGTATACACATGAACACGTCAAACAACTTTATACCTTAAACTGTCTTGTAAAATGCATATACTAAATTGATATCCTGGTCAACATGTTAATGAAAATGAGAGATACATAAATGTAATAAGGTCCTATTTCAAAATTTTTTATTTTCTTTCTTTCAACCTAAGTTACCTTGTGATGATGATTTTTTTAAAGTATTTTTTTAAAAAATGTAATATACACAATATATTTTGTATTTGTTCCGCCAATTCTAAAATATTGTTTAAAGAAAAATTTCCTAACTCAAAATTAGCTAAGATTTCTAAAACTGGGTCAAGGATTACCAGATGGTGTCTGCTATGGTGGTTCTGGGAGGCAGCTGCAAGGGAGATGACAAAATTCATGCAATTAAAAAATAAACAGCCATTGTCTGAAAGAAGTGTTACATGAGTCAAAGTCCTCTCCCATCACTACTATCTTCAATCTAATGAGGGTCTTCCTCCTTTCTAGTAATCATGATAAAACCTTGTTTTGAGAAGTATCTATTCATATCTTTTGCCCACTTTTTAATAGGGCTGTTTTATTCTTTTTGGCACATTTGAGTTCCTTGTAGATTCTAGATATTAGGCTTTTGTCAGATGTACAGTGGGCAAATATTTTTCCCCATTCTATGGGCTGTCTCCCTGCTCTCTTGATGGTTTCTTTTGCTTTGCAGAAGCTTTTTAGTTTGATGAGGTCCCACTTGTCAACCTCATCTCTTATGGCATGGGCACTTGGGGTTTTGATCAGGAATTGGTTTCCAGTTCCAATTTCCATAAGGGTGTCGCCTGCATTTTCTATGGTTCTTATAGTTTGAGGTTTCATGTTTAGGTCTTTGATTCATCTAGAGCTGATTTTTGTGTATGGTGATAGGTAGGGGTCTTGTTTAAATCTTCTGCATAGCCGGGCTCGGTGGCTCAGCCTGTAATCCCGCGCCTTTGGGAGGCTGAGGTGAGTGGACTGCCTG